TGTTATGCCAACTTTTCCAACAGCCTGTAAGCATTTTCTGCCTTGGTTAGATGGTGCAAGGGCAGCCTTTAAGCAGCTAAAGCATTCCCTGAGGAGAGCTCTGGGTCTGCCAGGTGTCTCAGAACTGTTGGGAAGCATCTTTGGTGGGGAGGGCAAAGAAAGGACAAGGTGTGCAGTGACCCCCCTGAGAAGGGACTTTGAGTTAATGGCATCCCTGCAAGTGAACTTTGTGGGCTGTTCCCCCTGTAGGGCAGGTGATAGTCCCAGCTACAGGGATGGGAAAAATAATTAAAAGGGAGCCTCAAAAGCTGGAAATCGTCCTGGAGGCTTTTGGCAAACAGAGTTTCCTGAGTTCTCCCTGCAAGAAGGACAGTGACAGCTTTTGAGTGCTGGTAGATCCTTTGAATAGATAGCCTTGAGCGTGTCCTTGTTGCACCAGTAGGCCTTGTCAAACTCCCCATGTTCCAGGAGATATACATATTAAAAGAAAAAATGATCCTTTTCCTAATCCTTTGTTGTCTTGAGGCTCTCCCCTCAGGAACTGCAGGAACTCCTGGTGCCGCCTGGGCCGATGGATTGGACGCCCCAGCCCCTCCGTTCCTGCCCAGCCCCTGGGTCTGTGTCGAGTGGTGGCACTGCCAGCCCTGCAGGTGAAGTGGGAAGGGCCTTTCCAGGTCTGGCTGATCACATTTATAGCAGTTAATGTTCAAAAAGAGGACCTGGGGTCTGTTATTCTTGAGTTAAGAAAGCTCCTTTTGATTGGTGAGCAGAACCAAGTGGATCCTTCAGAGTTCCCATCCGTGTTTGTGTCTCAGCCTGTGTTAGGATTCAGGGCTGTAGCTGTTGTTGTCACTGAGGAGTCAAACTCTGCTTTAAATAATGAGACACTGGCCTGATGGCTGTGTGTCAAGAATAAGGGGGGATGATACCTGAGTGTTGAGATGTAACAAGAGCTGATCCTTTTTGCAGTGGGATGTAGCCTGGAAAGTGCACAGAGCTGAGCCAAGGGATTGAAAGGGACCAAGCAAGGGAGGTGAAGAAAGAAGGAAGAAGGGAAGTGAGGCAGCAGGCAAGCAGCACCAAGTTGCTGTGTAAGCAGGTGAGTTGTGTTGAGGTTCCTCAGGCAGGCCCTGAGGACTTTGAGGGCTCCAGACAGAGCAGACCTGGGAAGGCCCTCGGTGAAGCCCCTTGGAAACCTTCTAAGGGTAGGTGTGTATGGTAATGAGTGTTGGAAAATGTCCTGAGTAGGGATTAGGAATGCAGGGAAGGAAAATGAACCCTCCTGTAATGCTGCCATATCAGCTGCAGTGGAGATAGCTCTGTGTGCCCTTTGGGAGCTGATTGCCAGGACACCTGGTGGGCTGGAATGATTCAAGAGCATAGGAATAAAAGATTGCCTGGCTTCTAAAACTCACCAGTTGAGTCTCAGAGGTTCCTGTAAGAAATTTTAAGTAACACCTGAACTTCTGGTGTGTACTTATGAGTTCATTTGGAAAGAGATTGTCCAGGGAACAGGAATGTTTCTCATTCCAGGAAGTTGCCCTTGATGAACTTCCCATCTGAGCTGATGCCCTTGGCAGGAGAAGTGCTCAGCAAGGAGGCTCTTTGCTCCTAGGCAGGAAGAAAGGCCAGTGCCCTTCCTCCCCAAGGCCCAGCCCAGCAGGGCTGGCAGGAGCTACTGGTGTGGCTGCTCTTTGGGTTCTCAGCTGTGCCCGTGGGGTGGTGACATCGTGTTTGTGCTGTGCTCCAGGGCAGCCAAAAGCCCAGCCCAGCCCCTGGGCCTTTCTAGGAGCCTGAGCTATTGCAGCCCTGGGGAGGGGGGTTTGGGGTTTTTTCCCTGAAAGTAGAACCATAGGGGGATCTCTTATCTCACAGTTGTTTTTTTGATGTCTTAATTAATTACAACTTTAGAAGAAAGCTTTGTGTAACTTAGCAAGTGACTTGCACTGGTTCCACTGAAAGTGCCAAGGAGTTGTAGTGTCCACTGGATTGTTTGTATTGAAGTAGTTTGGTGTTTACAGAGGGATAATAACTCCTGTCAGCAGCAAGGTCCTGACTGAAGTGGCAGCTGCAGTTGTTCCTGTGGTGTGGGCCAGTGGAATTGCAGGAGAGTGGAAGAGGGCAGAACCTGTAGGTATTATCCCTAATGTGGGATCTCTCCTGGTAAGGCAAACCCAGTATCCTTTAAAATCAGAATGCCAGCTTGGATTGGTTGCAGTAATGGCTAAATTGGCTCATCCTGTATTCCTTGTAGGACGTGAATGCAAGAACCTGCCAGGAAAACCAATGGCCAAGATGATTGATGAGTGCAGGACCTGAGAGAAGCACCTTGAATGACAACCTCGAGGAGTTTCCAGTATTGGATTGAAAAGATGGCCTTTGCTGCATCTGCTTGAGCAAGGAAAGCCAAGAAACCTTTGCTTTGGAAGGAGAAAATCTGGAAAGCAGGAAGGAAGAAAAGCAGCCCCCTGACTCCTCCCTGAGCCCCAGACAGCCCATGAACTGCCTTGCTGGGAATGGTAGGACGGGCTGGACTCTGGATTGCTCCCTCTGGATGTGTGGTAAGACTGTTATGCCAACTTCTAACAATAGCATGTAAAGCATTTGCTGCCTTGTCTAGATGGTGCAAGGGCAGTCTTTAAGCAGCTAAAGCATTCCCTGAGGAGAGCTCTGGGTCTGCCAGATGTCTCAGAAGTGTTGGAAGCATCTTTGGTGGGGAGGGCAAACAAAGGCCAAGGTGTGCAGTGACCTCCCTGAGAAGGGACTTTGAGTTAATGGCATCCCTGCAAGTGAACTTTGTGGGCTGTTCCCCCTGTAGGGCAGGTGATAGTCCCAGCTACAGGGATGGGAAAAATGGTTAAAAGGGAGCCCCAAAAGCTGGAAATCCTCCTGGAGGCTCTTAACAAACAGAGTTTGCTGAGTTCCCCCTGACAGAAGGACAGTGATAGCTTTTGAGTGCTGGTAGATCCTTTGAATAGATAGCCTTGAGTGTGTCCTTGTTGACCCAGTAGACCTTGTCAAACTCCTCATTTTCTAGGTGATATACATATTAAAGGAAAAAATGATTCTTTTCCTAATCCTTTGTTGTCTTGAGGCTCTCCCCTCAGGAACTCCAGGAACTCCTGGTGCCGCCTGGGCCGATGGATTGGACGCCCCAGCCCCTCCGTTCCTGCCCAGCCCCTGGGTCCGTGTCCAGTGGTGGCACTGCCAGCCCTGCAGGTGAAGTGGGAAGGGCCTTTGCAGGTCTTGTGGGTCACATTTATAGCAGCTGAAGTTGCAGAAAAAGGACCTGGGGTCTGTTATTCTTGAGTTCAGAAAGCTCCTTTTGTTTGGTGAGCAGAACCAAGTGGATCCTTCAGAGTTCCCATCCGTGTTTGTGTCTCAGCCTGTGTTAGGATTCAGGGCTGTAGCTGTTGTTGTCACTGAGGAGTCAAACTCTGCTTTAAATCATGAGACACTGGCCTAGTGGCTGCGTGTTAAGAAAAAAGGGGGAATGCTGTCTGAGTGTTGAGATGTAACAAGAGCTAATCCTTTTTGCAGTGGGATGTAACCTGGAAAGTGCACAGAGCTGAGCCAAGGGATTGAAAGGGACCAAGCAAGGGAGGTGAAGAAAGAAGGAAGAAGGGAAGTGAGGCAGCAGGCAAGCAGCACAAAGTTGCTGTGTAAGCAGGTGAGTTGTGTTGAGGTTCCTCAGGCAGGCCCTGAGGACTTTGAGGGCTCCAGACAGAGCAGACCTGGGAAGGCCCTCGTTGAAGCCCTTTGGAAACCTTGTAAGGGTAGGTGTGTATGGTGATAAGTGTTGGAAAATGTCCTGAATGTGGAACAGGAATGCAGGGAAAGAAAATGAACCATCAGGTAATGCTGACCCCTCCCGTCAGCTTCAGTGGAGATACCTGTGTGTGCCCTTTGGGATCTGATTGCCAGGACACCCGTCAGGCTGGGATCATGGCAGGGTGTTGTAAGCAAGGAATGCCTGGCTTCTAAAACTCACCAGCTGAATCCTAGAGGCTTCCTTGGAGAGCTGAGTTCAGGCAGCAGAATTGCCCCCCCAGGAGGGACTCTGTGCCTGCTCTCCCGTGGCTCCAAGGGATCTCTGGCCCTTCACGCCGGCACCGAGATTTTCTCGGGAAGGGCCTCAGATCCCCGGACCAGTCTGGGACACAGGCAAGATCCCCCTGCCTTTAGAAATGAGGCCTTCTTGTGGCTTCCTACCTGTACCCGTTGGTGGGTTCCAAAGAAGGACTCTTGAAATGCCTTTTGGGCTGTCCATTGAACCCTTGAGACCAAATTGGGCCCCCTGGAGGGACAGTGCTGTTGGTGCCCCCCGGGTTGGGGCACCCCGAGGACTCCAGCGCGCACCGAAAGGATTCTTCGGGGAGATCCTCGGGGTGCCTGGCCCTGGGGAGCTCAAAGCAAGGTCCCTGCCATGGATTCAGGCATTGCTGAGAGTATCCCAGGGGTCCCTGTCCCTGCTAGACATGGAGCTCTCTAATGGGCTGGAATTGGGTTCTAAAAGTGGTGCTCCAAGTGCCAAAGAATGTGGGATTGGGATTAAGAAATGAGCAGTGAGGGTCCAATTGGCTGTTTTCTCTGGAATGTAATTCTAAGAGCTCCAGGAGTGCCAGGTGTGTGTTCCAGTCCCCAGCATTTGGTTTGCACCTTTCCAGGTCAGGCACAGGTCCAACTTCCTCAGTCCTTAACCCAAGAGAGGGAGAATGAAGGACTGGCAGTGTTCAGGTGATTGGTGTGACAGGGGTTAAACTGGGAAAACATTGGGTGATTCCTCAGTTTCTCTTTTAGCCAAACTGACCCAAACCTGTGCTAGGAAGAGACTTCCTGAAAAACTTGAGGCAGAAATGAAATGGAAAACAGGGGCTATTGAAACTGTAATTGCTGCAACTCAATGTGTCCAAGCAGCAGCTCTTGTTGTGCAGGGAATAACTCCTGTCAGCAGCAAGGTCCCGACTGAAGTGGCAGCTGCAGCTGTTCCTGTGGTGTGGGCCAGTGGAACTGCAGGAGAGTGGAAGAGGGCAGAACCTGTAGGTATTACCCCTGGTGTGGGATCTCTCCTGGTAAGGCCAAGCCAGTATCCTTTAAAATCAGGATGCCAGCTTGGATTGGTTGCAGGAACAGCTGAATTTGCTCCTCCTGGTTTGCTTGTAGGACGTGAATGCAAGAACCTGCCAAGAAAAGCAATGGCCAAGGGGATTGATTAGTGCAGGACCTGAGAGAAGCACCTTGAATGACAACCTGGAGCAGTTTCCAGTACTGGATTGAAAAGATGGCCTTGGCTGCATGTCCTTGAGCAAGGAAAGCCAAGAAACCTTTGCTTTGGAAGGAGAAAATCTGGAAAGCAGGAAGGAAGAAAAGAAGCCCTGTGTCTCCTCCTGAGCCCCAAACAGCTCCTGAACTGCCTCCCTGGGAATGGTGGGACGGGCTGGACTCTGGATTGCTCCCTCTGCATGTGTGGTAAGACTGCTATGCCAACTTTTCCAACAGCCTGTAAGCATTTGCTGCCTTGGCTAGATGGTGCAAGGGCAGCCTTTAAGCAGCTGAAGCCTTCCCTGAGGAGAGCTCTGGGTCTGCCAGATGTGTCAGAAGTTTTGGAATCATCTTTGGTGGGGAGGGCAAAGAAAGGCCAAGGTGTGCAGTGACCCCCTGAGAAGGGACTTTGAGTTAATGGCATCCCTGCAAGTGAACTTTGTGGGCTGTTCCCCCTGTAGGGCAGGTGACAGTCCCAGCTACAGTGATGGGAAAAATAATTAAAAGGGAGCCCCAAAAGCTGGAAATCCTGCTGGAGGCTCTTGGCAAAGAGAGTTTGCTGAGTTCCCCCTGACAGAAGGACAGTGACAGCTTTTGAGTGCTGGTAGATCCTTTGAATAGATAGCCTTGAGTGTGTCCTTGTTGCCCCAGTAGACCTTGTCCAACTCCCCATATTGCAGGAGATATACATATTAAAGTTTAAAATGATCCTTTTCCTAATCCTTTGTTGGCTTGAGGCTCTCCCCTCAGGAACTGCAGGAACTCCTGGTGCCGCCTGGGCCGATGGATTGGACGCCCCAGCCCCTCCGTTCCTGCCCAGCCCCGGGGGCCGTGTCCAGTGGTGGCACTGCCAGCCCTGCAGGGGAAGTGGGAAGGGCCTTTGCAGGTCTTGTGGGTCACATTGATAGCAGGTAAAATTGCAGTAAAAGGACCTGGGGTCTGTTATTCTTGAGTTCAGAAAGCTCCATTTGATTGGTGAGCAGAACAAAGTGGATCCTTCAGAGTTCCCATCTGTGTTTGTGTCTCAGCCTGTGTTAGGATTCAGGGCTGTCAGTTGTTGTCACTGAGGAGTCAAACTGTGCTTTAAATAAGGAGACACTGTCCTAGTGACCCAATGTGAAGGAAAAAAAGGGGGAGTGATATGTGAGTGTTGAGATGTAACAAGAGCTAATCCTTTTTGCAGTGGGATGGAGCCTGGAAAGTGCCCAGAGCTGAGCCCAGGGATTGAAAGGGACCAAGCAAGGGAGGTGAAGAAAGAAGGAAGAAGGGAAGTGAGGCAGCAGCCAAGCAGCACCAAGTTCCTGTGTAAGCAGGTGAGTTGTGCTGAGGTTCCTCAGGCAGGCCCTGAGGACTTGGAGGGCTCCAGACAGAGCAGACCTGGGAAGGCCCTCGGTGAAGCCCCTCAGAAACCTGAAGCCCTTGGGTCTCTTTGTGAGCCTGAGCTATTGCAGCCCTGGGGATGGCTTTGGTTTCCTTCTCTCCTCAGAGTAAAACTGTCCAGGGGAGTCTGTGATCTCCCTGATTTTTGTATCATAACTGAAACTTGGAAGAAAGTTGACCTTGTGTCATTTCCCAACTGACTTGGCCGGGTTGAACCAGCAGTGCCAGATTGTTGTGGTGTGCAGGTTATTGTTTGTGTCTGAGCTGTTTGGGGTTAATTTGCCAAGGGAGGCCATGGAATGTTCTGGTATTTTTGTCCCAATATTTGTAGGCAGTGCCCTGAATTAGTTGATTTTTGCCTCACTCCCTGATGTCTGAGTTTGGAGATGTACCAAGAACTGGTGGTTTTTGCAGTGGGATGTTCCCTAGAAACTGCACAGAGCTGAGCCAAGGAACTTAAAGGGACTGAGCAAGCAAAGGCAAGAAAGAAAGAAGAAGGGAACTGAGGCAGCAGCCAAGCAGCACCAAGCTCCTCTACAACCAGGTGAGTTGTGTTGAAGTTGCTAAGGTGGTCACTGAGAACTCTGGGGGCTGCAGGCACAGGTGACCACCAGAGACCCCCGATGGAGCCCCTCAGAGACCTTATAAGGGTTTGTGTATGTGGGAACAGGTGTTGGGAATGTCCTGAATGTGGAACAGGAAGGCAGGGAAGGAAAATGAACCCTCCTGTAATGGTGACCCCTCCCATCAGCTGCAGTGGAGATACCTGTGTGTGCCCTTTGGGGGCTGATTGCCAGGACCCCCGTGGGGCTGGGATCATGGCAGGGTGTTGTAAGCAAGGAATGCCTGGCTTGGAAAACTCACCAGCTGAGCCTTAGAGGCTTCTTTGAAGAGCTGATTTCAGGCAGCAGAATTGGCCCCCAGGAGGGACTCTGTGCCTGCTCTCCCGTGGCTCCAAGGGATCTCTGGTCCTTCACGCCGGCACCGAGATTTTCTCGGGAAGGGCCTCAGATCCCCGGACCAGTCTGGGACACAGGCAAGATCCCCCTGCATTTTGGGACCAAATTGGGCCCCCCTGGAGGGACAGTGCTGTTGGTGCCCCCCGGGTTGGGGCACCCCGAGGACTCCAGCACGCACCGAAAGGATTATTCGGGGAGATCCTCGGGGTGCCCGGCCCTGGGGAGTTCAAAGCAAGGTCCCTGCAATGGATTCAGGCATTGCTGAGAGTATCCCAGGTGTAGCTGTCCCTGCTAGACATGGAGCTCTCTAACGGACTGTAATTGGGTGATAAAAGTGGTGCTCCAACTGCAAAGGAAGTGTGGGATTGGGATTAAGAAATGAGCAGTGATGGTCCAATTGGCTGTTTTCTCTTGAATGTGATGGTAAGAGCTGCAGGAGTGCCAGGTGTGTGTTCCAGTCCCCAGCATTTGGTTTGCACCTGTCCTGCTCAGACACAGGTCCAACTTCCTCAGTCCTTAACCCAAGAGAGGGAGAATTAAGGACTGGCAGTGTTAAGGTGATTGGTGTGACAGGGGTTAAACTGGGAAAACATTGGGGAATTCCTCAGTTTGTCTATTTGCCAAACTCACCCAAACCTGTGCTAGGAAGAGATGGGAAAAGTTGAGGCAGAAATGAAATGGAAAACAGGGGATATTGAAACTGTAATTGCTGCAACTCAATGTGTCCAAGCAGCAGCTCTTGTTGTGCAGGGAATAACTCCTGTCAGCAGCAAGGTCCCAACTGAAGTGGCAGCTGCAGCTGTTCCTGTGGTGTGGGCCAGTGGAACTGCAGGAGAGTGGAAGAGGGCAGAACCTGTAGGTATTACCCCTGGTGTGGGATCTCTCCTGGTAAGGCCAAGCCAGTATCCTTTAAAATCAGAATGCCAGCTTGGATTGGTTGCAGGAACAGCTGAATTTGCTCCTCCTGGTTTGCTTGTAGGACGTGAATGCAAGAACCTGCCAAGAAACCAATGGCCAAGGTGATTGATGAGTGCAGGACCTGAGAGAAGCCCCTGAAATGACAACCTGGAGCAGTTTCCAGTATTGGATTGCAAAGATGGCCTTTGCTGCATGTCCTTGAGCAAGGAAAGCCAAGAAACTTTGCTTTGGAAGGAGAAAATCTGGAAAGCAGGAAGGAAGAAAAGAAGCCCCGTGACTCCTCCCTGAGCCCCAGGCAGCCCCTGAACTGCCTCCCTGGGAATGGTGGGACGGGCTGGACTCTGGATTGCTCCCTCTGGATGTGTGGTAAGACTGTTAGGGCAACTTTTCCAACAGCCTGTAAGCATTTGCTGCCTTGGCTAGATGGTGCAAGGGCAGCCTTTAAGCAGCTGAAGCCTTCCCTGAGGAGAGCTCTGGGTCTGCCAGATGTGTCAGAAGTTTTGGAATCATCTTTGGTGGGGAGGGCAAAGAAAGGCCAAGGTGTGCAGTGACCCCCCTGAGAAGGGACTTTGAGTTAATGGCATCCCTGCAAGTGAACTTTGTGGGCTGTTCCCCCTGTAGGGCAGGTGACAGTCCCAGCTACAGTGATGGGAAAAATAGTTAAAAGGGAGCCCCAAAAGCTGGAAATCCTCCTGGAGGCTCTTGGCAAAGAGAGTTTGCTGAGTTCCCCCTGACAGAAGGACAGTGACAGCTTTTGAGTGCTGGTAGATCCTTTGAATAGATAGCCTTGAGTGTGTCCTTGTTGCCCCAGCAGGCCTTGTCCAACTCCCCATCTTCCAGGGGATATAGATATTAAAGTTTGAAATGCTCTTCCTAATCCTTTGTTGGCTTGAGGCTCTCCCCTCAGGAACTGCAGGAACTCCTGGTGCCGCCTGGGCCGATGGATTGGACGCCCCAGCCCCTCCGTTCCTGCCCAGCCCCTGGGGCCGTGTCCAGTGGTGGCACTGCCAGCCCTGCAGGGGAAGTGGGAAGGGCCTTTGCAGGTCTTGTGGGTCACATTGATAGCAGGTAAAATTGCAGTAAAAGGACCTGGGGTCTGTTCTCCTTGAGTTCAGAAAGCTCCTTTTGGTTGGTGAGCAGAACCAAGTGGATCCTTCAGAGTTCCCATCTGTGTTTGTGTCTCAGCCTGTGTTAGGATTCAGGGCTGTCAGTTGTTGTCACTGAGGAGTCAAACTGTGCTTTAAATAAGGAGACCCTGGCCTGATGGCCCAGTGTCAAGGCAAAAGGGGGAATGATATGTGAGTGTTGAGATGTAACAAGAGCTAATCCTTTTTGCAGTGGGATGGAGCCTGGAAACTGCCCAGAGCTGAGCCCAGGGATTGAAAGGGACCAAGCAAGGGAGGTGAAGAAAGAAGGAAGAAGGGAAGTGAGGCAGCAGCCAAGCAGCACCAAGTTGCTGTGTCAGCAGGTGAGTTGTGTTGAGGTTCCTCAGGCAGGCCCTGAGGACTTGGAGGGCTCCAGACAGAGCAGACCTGGGAAGGCCCTCAGTGAAGCCCCTTGGAAACGTTCTAAGGGTAGGTGTGTGTAGTTAATAAGTGTTGGAGTATGTCCTGAATATGGAATAGGAATGCAGGGAAGGAAAATGAGCCCTCCTGTAATGGTGACCCCTCCCATGAGCTGCAGTGGAGACCCCTCCGTGTGCCCTTTGGGAACTGATTGTCAGGGCACCCGTGGGGCTGGGATCATGGCAGGGTGTTGTAAGCAAGGAATGCCTGGCTTCTAAAACTCATAAATTGAGTCTTAAAATGCCTCTCTGAAGAGCTGATTTCAGGCAGCAGAATTGCCCCCCAGGAGGGACTCTGTGCCTGCTCTCCCGTGGCTCCAAGGGATCTCTGGCCCTTCACGCCGGCACCGAGATTTTCTCGGGAAGGGCCTCAGATCCCCGGACCAGTCTGGGACACAGGCAAGATCCCCCTGCAGTTTAGGACCAACTTGGCCCCCTGGAGGGACAGTGCTGTGGGTGCCCCCCGGGTTGGGGCACCCCGAGGACTCCAGCGCGCACCGAAAGGATTCTTCGGGGAGATCCTCGGGGTGCCCGGCCCTGGGGAGCTCAAAGCAAGGTCCCTGCCATGGATTCAGGCATTGCTGAGAGTATCCCAGGGGTCCCTGTCCCTGCTAGACAGGGAGCTCTCTAATGGGCTGCAATTGGGTGATAAAAGTGGTGCTCCAAGTGCCAAAGAAGTGTGGGATTGGGATGAAGAAATGAGCGGTGAGGGTCCAATTGGCTGTTTTCTCTGGAATGTGACTGTGAGAGCTGCAGGAGTGCCAGGTGTGTGTTCCAGTCCCCAGCATTTGGTTTGCACCTGTCCTGCTCAGACACAGGTCCAACTTCCTCAGTCCTTAAGCCAAGAGAGGGAGAATTAAGGGCTGGCCGTGTTCAGGTGATTGGTGTGACAGGGGTTAAACTGGGAAAACATTGGGGAATTCCTGAGTCTCTCTATTTGCCAAACTCACCCAAACCTGTGCTAGGAAGAGGTGGACTGGAGTCCCTGATCCCCTGGGCAGTTGTCCTGCATGACCTGGGAGCCTCTGGATTAGACTGGCCTGGGCAGACAGGGAGCAGTTTGTCCTGTGGAGCTGGGCTGGGTTTGTTCAGGATGCCTTGGGAGGCAGGGCTGGAGAGGCTCCTCTGTTGGCTGTAGTGCTGGAAGGTTGTAGCAGCAGGGCTGGAGCCCTTGGACCTCCTGCTCCCCCGTGAGCCCCGACGGGACCGTGCCCTTGGCAAGGGAGGGCCCCCCATTGCTGAACCAGCGGTTCCGGGGCCAGGAGGGATGGGATCAGGATGCCGAGCTCCACCCAGGGCCAGGGCTGCCAGTGTTCAACCATGGAGGGAACTGAAAGCAGAGTGAGATGGAGGCCAAGCTGCAGCACAGGGATGGGTGAGAAAAGA